TGTAATAACAGAAAATTTTTAATTTTTTTTTCCTTTTTTTTGGGTGGGTTAGTTTGCTAGAGGATTGCACCCCGTTTTATATTATTCTGCAGGCCCCCTTGTCTTGGGGGCATCCATGTCGTTATTGACTTTCTCAACAATGATCAGTTTATGACTCATTCCTTAAAGGAAATTTACCATCAGTTCATGACACATACTTAAAAGAAAATTTACCAAAAGTTTCAAACACGAACACGGAAAAGAGAATCATTGCAAAATCGTGTAGGTGAAAAATCCTCAAATACCTTCGTAATTGCCATTTATACAAGATTTCGAAATAGTTATAATCCAAGGAAAAATAGAGTGGCAGTTGAAAACGCTACAACCGCCACCATTGTACGGAAAAAATGAAACAAGACAGACAAAAGTAAATAAATAAAAATGATCATGCCGGAAAGGAAGTCCGCATAAATTTTTCTTTCCTTTCAATTTTATCATCCCAAAAGATTCGGTTAGAATTTCGTTGGCAACGCCCTTATCAAACAGCGAGATTTGAATATTTTTCAATTTTCGCTGCAGCAAGGCGTGTCCACTCCTTATTCGAGTCCTCCCACAGTGCTGCAAACGGATTGATTTGGAGTGATAAATCATTACCAATTGCTCTGACTAGAATCATATATTTTTCTAAGTTCTTTTTTTAGTTTACGCAATTGGTCATAAACAGTTGAAATTGTGCCACCTTTAATAATGCCATTTGACGTATTTTTACCATCTAGAATAGAAACTTCTATCCAGTCCAGAGGTTAGGTAACCTTAGTGGGGTAACTAATTTTTGACCAAGAATGTTTCGTTTTAAGTTATTTATGACAGAAATTAATCAAACACTCTTTTTGTCAAATTCATAAATATAACATAGACATAATAGGTATTTTGGAGATCGTAACTGCCACTGAAAAACAAAATTGTTGCTGGCGCTTTACATTTCTTAAGAAACTTTTCGCTTCAAATGATATTGAATTCATAATAATGTTAATTATAAATAGTTGAAGTACTTTCTGCGCTAATCATTTTAGTTAAAAAGATGTCCCTTTTATAGATCTTAGTTTACAGATCTTTTTAGCTAGAAAAATTTGTTCAGATAGATTTGTAAAATAGACAGAAACGCTTAATAATAAGCAGAATTGCCTGGATCTGAGTTAAACTGTTGTTTTTATATCATATACTGTATTTTAAAACTGGTAAGTTTTTTTTTAATTTTTAGAACTATATTATTTGCGTTTTGTTAAGAAAAACTACATCGAGTGTACATAGCCCAGCTCTCGTTCTTGTGTAAAACGAAGAACACGCATCCTCTTGAGTTATACGACGAATTTGTACCAGATGTACTTTGCAAATTCATTTAAAATAATAAAAGAAAGAGATAAACGAATCCCTCTAACTAGTTTTAGACTTTTTACTACAGCCGCTTTAGTGAGAATATTGCTATTTTGTCAAGCTTAGAATATACTCTCGTCTTTCATATGCTCCAGAATCAGAATGGAAACATTTCTGTGTGATAAAGCATCTTACGAGATCTTATGATAGCAGAGCATCATTACCCATTTTGGATACATTTTTTAACGTCGTGGCTAATTCGACAACTTCTGCTGTCATCCTTTATAACCAAATTTAACTAAACTACACTACTGGCCATTATAATTGCTACACCAGGAAGGAATGCAAGTAACAGAATGATATTCATTGAGCACATACATTATGGTTGGAAGAGCAAGTGATTAAATTTTCAAGATATTTGGATGTATAGATCCTGAGGAATTAGTACTCAGAACAGAGTGCTGGCGAGCCAGTCGTTCGGCAACCATTGACCAGACGTTGAGAGATCAGGAGAACGTGCTCTGTATCAAGGAATGTCATGACAGTGCGGGCAACATGCAGTCGTGCATTTTCCAGTTGAAACGTATCGTTATGGAGGCCTCGAAGATAAAGCAGAGAAACTGGCCCTAACACATCAGAAATGTTACGGCTGCTGTTCAAAGTGCTGGCAATGTGAACAAGAGGTGATCGAGACGTGTATCCAATGGCACTCCATACCATTACTCTAGGTGATGGGCCAGTATGACGATTTCGAATGCAAGCTGCCAATGGGCAAGAACAAAGCTCAAATTCAATTTCTGTATGAGAAACTTACTGTCAAGTCTCTTTTTTTAGACACATTGTAGGTGTTGCTACCGTCGAGACTTGCTTTGTACGAATGCGCTGATAAGCTAATCATTTGCATACCACAACATGCTTTATCCGTCCTGCAAACTTCAAGTTCGTGGTGTGTCGCCTTCCTGGTGTAACAATTTTATTGGCCAGTAGTGTAGATTTCGCAGCTAATTTCAATCCCTTTTATTTGAAGTCTGATAGAGTTGCTAAAACATACAAACAAATTTAGTATTCCAAACCACAAATTATGATATTTTTAAATTCCCAATAACACTTCATTCCTTTATAGGGAACAGTATTAAATGAATCTTGAAATTTTAAAGGTAGCAATAAAATATGTCGTATTGTTTCGAATAAAATGTAAAATAGGTTGATTATTTGTGATTTGCCATGCAAATCTTCCTTCAAAAAGTTTGGTAATAATTTTGCTAAAGCATTTAAGGAAAATAATTCATAGATTATTTCAAAATATATAAGGAACCAAAGTAATAAATGAATAAGAAAAAATAGTGCATGGAGTCCCTCCGCGCGGAAGAAGTTAAACTTCGTAACCTGCGACGTTAATTGTAGAAGAATCAGCAGTCGTAGAAGGATCACTAGTTCTATTCAACGACTCTTTTTCCTGCTCCGCTCGCTTCCGTGCTCTGTAATAACGGTAATATTGTGCATTTTTCCCTCGTGGACCTCTTGAACCAGTGGAAGTGCTTGTGGTTGCCTCATCGTCTCGCCATGGAAAATGTATTTGTATTAATAATGTATGTGAATGCGTCATAATGTAATTTCAAAAGAGAAAACCTAACAATCAATTGATATTCACAAGAGACGTACCTTGAC